CTGTTCTTAGACCATGGCAGGGAGCAGATATGCTTCGGTCTTCCTGGCATGCTCTTCCCCCAGGTATCCACAAGACTTACTCCCTCCTCTACCATTGCTTCAGTGCCACCTTCTTAGTGAGGCCAACTTTGATCAACCCCTTTAATTTTGCATGCTTTGACTCCTGTACTCCTGACGCTTGCTACTTACTATGCTCTATTTCTTATATAGTATTCTTCATCCTCAAACATACTTTGTAATTTATTTATTTGTGCTGTTGTTTATTATCTATTCCCCCTCACTAAAATATTAGCTCCAGGTAGGCAGAGACTTACTTGTTTTTGTTCACTGATATATGTATTCCCAGAATCTAAAACTGCTGGCACATAGTTGGTACTAAATAAATATTTCCTAAATGAATGAATAGATTGTCCTCATAACAGATTATAAATGCATGGACCCATTTTTCTTCTAATATCTATCTTTTACATTTAAATCTTTGAGCTGGAATTTATCTTGGAGTAAAATGTGTGGTATAAATCCATATTTTTCCCTTTAAATGGCTCTTTAATTGTCTTGACCCAATTTATTGAAAAATCCATCATTTCCCACCCCTTTCTTTGAAATATTTCTTAAGGCATACTTTGGTTCCTTTTAATCCAGTATTAAGTTTGGTTAAAATACGTCATCTTCTTCAGTATGGAGAAAGATACGGTAGAATTATATCTTCATTCATTCAGCCAGTTCCTATATAGATATCAAAATCATATGCTTATTGAAATATTTTTATTACTTGCTTGTTGTAGCAAAGGCTATATTCTGGAGAGTGGCTACTTAATAGTGGTTTGGATAGTCTCCCAATCTCTAATCACATAAAATTCTTTCCTCCCTTCCTGTTTGTTCCTTCATACCAGATAACATACATTTTTAGAACATGTTGGCAGGATATCTTTCTGTACTTTGGAAAAGAGGCATAACTGGATGCAGAGTGACCTTACATCTGGCCTTCATGTAAAAATGCAAGTCTGACAGGGGAGCTTCAATTTACTTATCCAGAGTGATTTCTAGTTGATGACTGGAGATTATTTCTTAATCATTTAACTAGTTGATGCTTTTAAAACTATGTTTTCATTTTGTTTTATTGTTGTTGGTATTAATTTAAGAAAGTGGGCCCTCTGCAGATAAATTGGGATTAAAGACAAGACCACAAGTATTCGATATTTAACTTACTAGGTATGCATCTCATACTAAGTTATCATGGAGGATAAAAAGAACTTGCAAGTCATTCAGCCAACACTTACTTACCACTGATAATATTCAAAGGATACCTAGTGGCAAAGCAATACTGCTTGACTCAGTCTGTCAGTCAACCATTGAGATGGTATCTGGAGAGAAATAATGTGTCAAGGGAAAATTATAGTAAAGAGAAAATGTAACTCTATTTAACAATAATCCAAAGAAAGAAGAGAAAGAAGGGGAAAAATCTAGACCATCTGTAAGGAGGAGGAATGGGATTCAGCAATTAGTTTTGGGCAGTGTCAGCCCTGCTTAGTGGACTGCAGTTTGGCCAGGGTCCCTCACACTCAGCTTACCCACATGTTTTCTCTCCTGGATTACATCAGCTATACCCTGTTTCTTGCCCCTCCTTCCCCTGATACAGCCTCTGGACTGTAGCCACCACGATGTCTTTAAGATCAAATCTGGCCCTGACTGGTGTGTCTCAGTGGGTTGGTTATCATCTGACAAAGCAAAAGGTCACTGGTTCAATTCCAGGCCAGGGCACATGTCTGGGTTGCAGGCCAAGTCCCCAGTTGGGGGAGTGCAAGATAGAACAGATAGATGTTTCTCTCTCACATCGATATTTCTCTCCCTTTCTCTCTCCCTCCCTCTCTCCCTCCCTTCCCCTCTCTCTAAATATAAATAAATAAAATCTTCTTAATAAGATGAAATTTTGGCCTTAGCTGGTATGGCTAAATGGATTGAATGCCGCCCTGCGAAGCAAAGGGGGTCCCCGGTTTGATTCCCAGTCAGGGCACATGCCTGGGTTGCGGGCCAGGTCCCCAGTAGGGGGCATGTGAAAGGCAACCACACACTGGTGTTTCTCTCCCTCTCTTTCTCCTTCCCTTCCCTTCTCTCTAAAAATAAAGAAAAAAATAAAAAGATGAAATTTTATTACCTTGCTCCCCCACTTAAAGAGACTCCCCTCCCCATTGCCCTCTGATTTAAGCAGTAGGCCCCTCTGCCACCCTCTCCAGCTTCTTTGTCCTGTCTGTCCCAGCTCTATGCTACTGCCATAATGCCCCTCTCCTACAATTGTCTCAACTAGCCCTCTGTCTTCTTCCTCCCTCTCCTGGTCCTTGGACTTACTGTCCTCCAGTCTGGAGCACTCTCCTCCTCCTTCCCCCACATGCCTGGACACTAACTGCAAAGACATTAGTGATCTAATCCACAGGGATCCACATTTCCTTCTTGAGACCCATGGGCACAGGAACATCTGTTTTAGAGCTGGCCCTGTACTGCTGTAGACTAGTGAAGGCCTAGCTTAGACTCAGTGCTTAAGGAAGGTCCTGTAGTTCTGCTTTCTGGATCTGAGACAAAGAGAGTGCTGATGGCTCAGGGATGAAGAGTCTACTGACTGAAACTGGCATTACCTGGCCAATTTCCAACTATTGTCAGAGCGAAATCTTTACAGCTGTGAGTACATGAAACACAGAGTTTATTCTTTTTTTTTGTAACTTTATTTATTTATTTATTTTTTTAGAGAGGGGAAAGAAGGGAGAAAGAAAGGGAGAGAAACATCAATGTGTGGTTGCCTCTTGAGTACCCCCCTACTGGGGACCTGGCCCGCAACCCAGGCATGTGCCCTGACTGGGAATCAAACCAGTGACACTTTGGTTCGCAGGCCGGTGTTCAATCCACTGAGCCATACCAGCCAGGGCCAGAGTTTATTCTTGTATTATTATTTATTATTATATTATTTTCCACACGAACAAGTAAACCTACTTTTGCCCACACCTGTATATATATCTCATATTGTGTGATCTTGGGCTTTCTTTTGCATTGTATTCTCTTTTTGGTAGCCTCATTCATTCTGATTTTTTAAAATTATTTATTGATTTTAGAGAGAGAGGAATTGGGGGAAGAAAGAGAGGGGAACATCGATTTGTTGTTCCACTTATTTATTCATTCATTGGTTGTTTCTTGTATGTGCCCAAATCAGCTACCTGGCCAGGGCCTGATGGGTTTTATTACCTTTTTTAAATTTTCTTTCTTCTTTCTTTCTTTCCTTTCCCTCCCTTCCTTCCTTCCTTCCTTCCTTCCTTCCTTCCTTCCTTCCTTCCTTCCTTCCTTCCTTTCTATTTTTGATAGGTGGGAAGGAAGAAAAAGTGAGAGAGAAATGTCTATCGGTTGCCTCCCATATGTGACCTGTCTGGGGACCTAACCCACAACTTAGGTAAATCCTCTGACCAGGAATCAAACCAGTGACCTTTAGCTTTGAGGGACGATGCCCAACTAACTGAGCCACACTGGTCAGGGCATTTATTACCATTTCTAAAACAACAATTTAGCCCTGATCTCTGAGCATCAGATTTCTCACCCTCCACATTCCAAACTCTCTTCTCTGCAACCATTTTGGTAAATGGCCATCACCTACTACTGATTTCCTGTTTCCTCAGTTCCACCCGCCTCCTTTCCCATCTGATTCATTAGCAAATTCTGTCCATACTACATGCCATGTAAACCCAACAATTGTTCTTTTCTCCCCATGTCCCCTGCCACAACACTAATTCAAGTCACCGTCCTCTCTGCTGATCTATTTGCACTACCCCACTGTTGTCCCTGCTTCTACACTTAAGCCCTGTAATCTTTTAATGGGTTCGAAGATTCTGCCTACCATGACACCCTCATTTTATGACACTTAAATTCCTGTCACCCTTCATCTCTTTCTGTCCCTTCATAGGTAGAAATGCTTAATCGCACTTTGTGCTCTCTTAGCGCTCTCTTCTTTTCCTGAAAAGCTTTCCCCCCAGCTTTCCCGTGGCTGGTTCCTTTTTTCCCTTCAGATCTGATCTTCAAAGTCACCTCTTCAGGTAGACCTTCCCTAATGCCTAAATCAAATTTGGACTCCCAAATCCTGTCTATCGAAGCACCTAGTTTACTTCCTCTCTGCCACTAATCACAACATGCAATTGTTTTATTTAATTGTACCTATTTTTTTCTTTTAGTTTTTAAAGAAATTAGAAAATCTTTGATTTTTGTAATCCCTCCTCCATTAGGATTGGCAGATAAAATACAGAATGCCTGGTTAAATTTGAAGTTTAGATAAACAATAAATAAGGTTTCTTTGTACATCATATCGGGGCATGCTTACAGTGAAAAAATGTTCTGAATTTCAAACTAACTGCGTGTCCTATACTTTTATTTGCTAAATTTTGCAGCCTTACCCATGGATGTGTCTTACCCTTGTCTCGCTTGTTATGGGTTACATTCTCATGGCCAAGCCCAGAGCCTGCCATTTAGGTGTTCAGTTTATCTGCTGCCGTTTTTAGGTTGTTTTCTCCCCACCTGCTATTTATCAGAATTTTACCCATTCACTAAAACTTCTCGTTAAAGATATTTTGGGAAAATACATTTTATTATCTAAATTTCTTTGTTTTCTATTTCTGCAAAATTGGCATAGGAGCTATCTACTCTAATCACGCTGTTTTTGAGAATTAAATGAGGTACGGGGTGTTAAAGTTTAGCACCGTGCCCAGCTCACTAGAAGACGCAATAATTTCCGTTCTTTATTAAATGCAGCCCGTGAACCGTTTTAGCGGAAAGCAAAAACGCGGGTTTGGGGAGCACGGGTGGGGGCTGGGAAGACGGTTAGAACCGGCGCGGGCCCAAGAGCTGAGAGCCCGGAAGAGAGGTGGGGCTAAAAGTGAATGATACAGAAGATAGCCAATAGGAAGACTGGGAACTACTCCCCCCTACTCCTTGCGTTTCAAATTCTAAGCTCCGTTTTCATCCGGGTCCTTCAGCCTCGTTCCCGGGCAGTATAAAGTTTGCTGTCTCCTTTGTTCGCCCTCGTTGCGCAGTAGTTCCAGCTGGTTCTCTCTTCCGTCTTCGCAGCCTTCGGTCCTCCCTCGTGCTGAGCGGCTAGGAAGCGCTTAGTCGGCGAGCTCGTAGGAGCTTGAAACCGTCGTCACCCCTCCGGTACGTGTATTCTTTCCGCAACCTTTTTCTGGCCACTCCTGCCGTGTTAGAATTTCGGATTATCTCCCAGGAGATGGGGCTGGCGGGCGCCATTTTAAGAACCCAAAGGTGCCGACCTATTTAGATGTAGCTGAGAGGTCGGAGGGAAACAAATATAGGGATCCTTTTGGTTGCAAGACTCGAGAAAGTTTGGCTGTCGCCTGCGGGGGTGGTAGCGGAGGTTGGGGCTGTAGCGGGACAAGGAGAAACCGCGCCACCGCGGTACCTGCATTGGGATGGCGCCGGCACTGTGGATGGGCACGTGCACTTTTACGCGGGGTCCTTGTTCACTTATGGCCTTGCCCAGGAATCCCTTTGAATTTCAGCAGCCACTGCTGAGGGTAAGTTTTTTCTCTGACCGGTGTCGGTTTTTCTGGGCTGAGTCCAAGTGTCGCCATTTTGTGTTTTCCACGCGGTTTTTAGTGGGGGTTTTTAATTGGGTTCTGCTGCAGTCATGGAATGTTGAACGATACAGTGAGGCTTTTCACGCTCCGTTATTTAATATGAAATAATTTTTGACAGTTTTTAGAATTTTTGTGACCTTTTTCGGCCGGCCAGGGGCCGGGGAAAAAAGGAGAAACAGAACTTGTCTCAAACTTTAAATTTCTTAATAAATTTACTAAGGACTCCTAATAAGATAAGAGTTCTTGGGAGAGGGCTTGGTGTTACGGACCAGCACCTGTTTTGTGACCTTGAATGAGTCGATAGTATTTAGGGTAATTGTACCTTTAAAAGGCTGGAAATCTGGATTAAAACTTTTTCTAATGTTGAGTAGCTGTTACTTGACCAAAACTGCCAAGGTAGATTAAGGGTAAAGGCATAAGTTGGTCCTTTTAACCAGTTTAATGGAAACTGCGCTATGGCTTAACTAGTTAATTTGGGTTTCTCGGGTGATGCTTAGAAAGGGTTGCTTTTGATTTATTCAGTTATTAAAGAGTAATGGTTTCAGTAAAAACAAGAAAAATGGATCCTAATAAAAACATCTGTCCGATAAACTCAAGGAACTTTTCCTGGGAAGGTAATACTATATTTTTTTTCAATAGACACTCATCAGGGGGGAAAATGGTTGAAGCTGATCGCCCAGGAAAGCTCTTCATTGGTGGCCTCAATACAGAAACAAATGAGAAAGCCCTTGAAGCAGTATTTGGCAAATATGGACGAATAGTGGAAGGTGAGTTTATCTGAAAGTATTTGCAGAGCTATTTTGTAATTACAAGGGGAAGCTATGATGAATTTAATTGCGGTGATCATCTGAAATGATAATTTTGTCCTCTAAGAAGTTCTGAGCTTTGTTTTTTAAACATTTGTTTTTGTCAGTTCATTCTTACTAGAATAACACTTATTCACCCCTGAAAATAACTTTTTTAGTACTGTTAATGAAAGATCGTGAGACCAACAAATCAAGAGGATTTGCTTTTGTCACCTTTGAAAGCCCAGCAGATGCTAAGGATGCAGCCAGAGACATGAATGGAAAGGTGAGATTGTTTTTGCACGCTGATGGTGTTTCTTAGTGCATAAAATAGCACAATGTTAGCCAAGTCTCTTGGCCTAGGACATCTCTTGAATTTTGTTTGAGTGTGTCCCTTTCTAGGGCCTTGTGATTATAGCCCTGTGTGATTTTTATAACCAAATTTACAGATTTCACTGTAATAAGAGTTCGGAATATTGTGTTTATTTTATCTGGGATTTATAAACTGCTTTAGTAACTTGGCTTTTTCTTTTGGGTTATTAGTTTTGATAAGTTGATAGCTGATCTTGTTTAAAATACTGCCTACCAGTAATGCTTTATTTGGCTCAAATCATCAGTAGCAGTCTTAAAGACTAGTAGTCATTTTAAGGAAATTGAAAAGTACTATATTTTACTGCTTTTCTTAGATTAGTGAGTAAAATGTATCTGATTACATTTTGAAGGACATCAGTGTCACGGTGGCAGTGGATATGCCAGTTCTTTTTAAATGTTGCTGTAATTAACCACTTTGATATCATTTAGTCTTTAGATGGAAAAGCCATCAAGGTAGAACAAGCCACTAAACCATCATTTGAAAGTGGTAGACGTGGACCACCTCCACCTCCAAGAAGCAGAGGCCCTCCAAGAGGCCTTAGAGGCGGAAGAGGAGGAAGTGGAGGGACCAGGGGACCTCCATCACGTGGAGGGCACATGGGTAATGACTTGGGCTTACCTCAGGCTTGGTGTATAAGTTAGGAACTGCAAACCGACGCCATGTGTACTTTGGTTAAGTCTTTGTTTAGAGGTGCCAGCTTTGGCAATTGAGAACACATGCTCACTTACCAAAGTGATAATGACTTGATTGAAAACAATAGTGTTTTTTAAATGATGGAAAATACACTCTTTATCCAGGTAATTCACTCTAGGAAAACTCTTGACAGGCATAGGAGTTTGGGCGTGTTAAAATTACATAGATGTTTGGCATATTAAAGTTAAGGCTGCCCTTTAGTTTTATTTTACTAGTCTACTACATCTTCAGTTTTGTACAAATGAAAACTAAAGCGAGATTCCTCAACTAAACAAATACTCATGATCAAGCAAAGAACTTTTTCCAGCCTTTTCTTGATTCTTAAGTATTGACATATTTTTCTTTTCTTTTTTAATGTAGATGATGGTGGCTATTCCATGAATTTTAACATGAGTTCTTCCAGGGGACCACTTCCAGTAAAAAGAGGACCACCCCCAAGAAGTGGGGGTCCTCCTCCTAAAAGATCTGCTCCTTCAGGACCAGTTCGCAGCAGTAGTGGGATGGGAGGAAGAGGTAAATGGTCCATTGACAATCTTCCCTACTGCCCTAACACAATGAGATTGTAGGGAACAAAAATATCTTCATTTACTTCCATGTCATATGTCAGTCACCAGTTTTCATTGCCTCGGTGTAAGTTAACATTTTTCATTTTTTCTTTGGGTATATTTTAATAATAATTGTCTTGCCTTAAGCTCCCGTATCACGTGGAAGAGATAGTTATGGAGGCCCACCTCGGAGGGAACCCCTGCCTTCTCGTAGAGATGTTTATTTGTCCCCAAGAGATGATGGATATTCTACTAAAGACAGGTAACAGAAAAATGTAGTAGCTTTGTCTCATTAATAATTAGTGTTGAATGGGAGAGCTCAATCAAAAGCATAAACCAAGTTACTTTTGTTTTTGTAGCTATTCAAGCAGAGATTACCCAAGTTCTCGTGATACAAGAGATTATGCACCACCACCAAGAGATTATACTTACCGTGATTATGGTCATTCCAGTTCACGTGATGACTATCCATCAAGAGGGTATAGGTAAATAACTTTGCCTCCATGGTTTTGCTGTAAAATTTGATGCTCGGGGGCTTACAGGTTTTTCTCTTTAATTTAGTGATAGAGATGGCTATGGTCGTGATCGTGACTATTCAGATCATCCAAGTGGTGGTTCCTACAGGGATTCATATGACAGTTATGGTAAGATACTGGTTTAGTGTCTTTGAATATCACCAGCTTGAGTTTTTAGGTTCATGAGCCAGTTTACTAGGCTGTGTGGTGCTTGCTTTTAAGGGATGTTTGCTTGCTTTTTAAGGGGGTAACTATCAGCTGGGCTTTTCCTAGTTTTGTGAGGGGCTTTTGTTTTTTCTAATTTTTTTTGAGGCTGTTTGCTTGCTTTGGAGGGGATTTTGCTTGCTTAAATTGGCAGCCTTATGTGTTTTCCCCCAACAGTGAAAATACAATTTAAAAATTTTATTAACAACATCAAATGTTTACCATTCCAATATGAAGGAAAGTCTACAGTTCAAAATTGCAACTTATCACTGGAAAGTGGCTGAGTGTCTACTATAAAATAACAAGCTGTCTGGAATATCCTCTTGAAATACACATCGTCTTCAGTCTTTTCAAACAAACATTAAAACCCATCCATTTCCATATCTCAGCAAATGAGCAAATCCCTGTTAATGGCCAGCAATGGCAGAGTTTAAAACCTCCCAGTTGAGAAAGTAAACGTTTAATACAGAAATTCTGTAAATTCAGATTTAAATGTTGTATATATACAATTTATAGTGTTGCCATATTACCTGACCATTGACCCTGCAGGTAACTCACGTAGTGCTCCACCTACACGAGGGCCCCCGCCATCTTATGGTGGAAGCAGTCGCTATGATGATTACAGCAGCTCACGTGACGGATATGGTGGAAGTCGAGACAGTTACTCAAGCAGCCGAAGTGATCTCTACTCAAGTGGTCGTGATCGGGTTGGCAGACAAGAAAGAGGGCTTCCCCCTTCTATGGAAAGGGGGTACCCTCCTCCACGTGATTCCTACAGCAGTTCAAGCCGCGGAGCACCAAGGGGTGGTGGCCGTGGAGGAAGCCGATCTGATAGAGGGGGAGGCAGAAGCAGATATTAAAAACAAAACTTTGGACCAAAATCCCTGTTCAAAGAAACAAACAAAAAGTGGAACCTATTCTGTCATAACTACCCAAGGACTACTAAAAGAAAAAATTGTGTTACCTTTTTTAAATTTCCTGTTAAGTTCCCCTTCCATAATTTTTATGTTCTTGTGAGGAGAAAAGTAAAACATGTTTAATCTTAAGGCATTGCTTTCTTACAAGCAAATGTTAAATGTGTTAAGGCTTGACTTGTGTACTAGTGTTGTAATTTTCGAAGTAAAAGTGTCCCTAAAGGCCACTTTCTACTATTCCCAATAAATGAGGCAAGCAGTTCTAAGATTTTCTACAGACATCTAGCCATCTAAAATGGAAAGATGAATCCCTCTGCCTATACAAACAAGCTAGCTATTAGAGGGTGGTCGGGGTATGCTACTCTTAGGATATCATACTGTCATCAAAGTGAAATCTCAAATGTTCTCAGTATGAAAAACCTGAGATCAGATGCTTATGTAAAGAAAGTGCTATTCACCCAGTAAACCCAAAACAAATGGATAGTGCTGGCCATATTTTGCCTTTCTGACATTTCCTTGGGAATCTACAAGAACCTCCCCTTTCCCCCTCCCCAATAAGACCATTTAAGTGTGTGTTAAGCAACTACAGAATACTAAATAAAAAGTTTGGCCAAAACCAACCATGAAGCTGCAAACGGTGCTTGCTCTTACTGTTTCAAATTTTTGCAACTCTGTAGTGTCTCACTTTTAAGGAACAGCTTGATTGCAAAGGAGAAAATAGATAAGCAATGAAGTTATCTCCAACTTCTCAAAGGCTTATGACTTCTAAAAAGTGAATCTATCAGCATTCCACATCAGATTTAAAGCATCAAATGCCTGTGAAACAGCAAAGATGGTAAGCAAAGCAAACTAGTTTTTCCGTCTAAGTCGAAATTGAACACTTCCTCATAGTACAGTGAAACATACTGTACCTCATGGCAGTGGAAATGCTTTCTATATTAAAAAAAACTTTTGGAAAAGCAAAGTGTTCTGTAGCACATTAGAAGTCTTCCAAATTCAACTCTTGGATTTCTTTAAAAAAAAAAAAAAGCATGTATGACACTTAAAGGCCTTAATACAGCTGTTGTTTATCAATAGCCACCTGGGGCTTGGGAGGGGGGTATCTTTTTAAGTATTTTTGATGAAGACCTTTAAACATGCTTCGTATATTTTAACATTTTTAAAATTAGACTTTTAGTCAATATAGGAAATGGCTTAACTTTGGGGTCCCCCTCTTCCTACCCCTGTAAGCCATTGCAAACTTGACATTTAGTTGGATGCCTGACTTGTTTTTAGTTCTGTGAAACTACACTGTATGGAGAAAATCTATTGCAAGTGGTCTTTAAAAAGCAAAACCTGAGGCAACATGACCCAGGTCCAGCCACGGAGTTGAAAAAGATGCTCTTGAATATAGTAAACTTGAAGACCTCCAACTAAAAATCCTTGTACTGCACTTATTCCTTCAAATAAGTTTTGTCCGTTCAACTTATGGATTTAACATGGCAGTGCACCATTGGAACAGAATGAGAATCCATAAGCCATGCAACTTAACCATTTAAGCCATTCCAGTCCATCCCAAGCCAGTGACTCTTCCACCAATTAAGAGAAATAGTAGAACATGAAATACGTTAAGCTGCAAGTCTGAACTTGCCTTTTCTTTCTGGCAAAGGGGGCAGTAAGTTATAGGCAAGTTTAGAAGAATTTCCTTAAGAGAGATAACTAGTTACCGATTTAATTTTTACAGGTTGAGGATTATGGTCACAGAATGCTGATTTATTCACACTAGATAAAGCTGACAGCAAGAGAAATCAAAAACTAAGGTAAGTTTTAAGAGTCCTTTATACTTTTAAATAAGTATAGTTTTACCACTTTGTATGGCTGGAATATTAGCAAGTTATCTGTAAAGGGATAATCTTAACTTGTGAATTAGAAGGATCAAATATGTGCAACAGCTTGCATATTAAATGTTGATTTGAATGTAGGATGAAGTTATTTTAAACACAGGTGTATTTCCATTATAGCCCAGTTGTGCAATACTCTTAAACTGTTTTTGAATGTATAAAATTTCCTAGTACTGTCTCTGCATAAGCAGTTGTTGAGTAGAAATAATCTAGTTTATATTTTGGCACATGAACAAACTTTCCTTGTACCAGGTTCAAACTTGCTCCTGGGCATTTTGTATAAAATACTCTTTATGATCAGTGTGTGACGGTTTTTGGAGCCACAGTAGAAATCCACTAACGGGAGACTGATGCAGGTGCTTCTAAGCTCCCAGTTTGAGTAACAATTTTATTGGTGTAATGATAAAATTAATAGTCTGTCTTGGTATTACCAAAGTGATGCTTACAGGAATTGTACTGGGTATTTATGCATTATTGTCAGTTAAAGCAACAAAACAGTATGTATTTAAAGAACAGGTAAGGGGGTAGTAATTTTCGGCTTAAAACATGTCCTGATGTGATCACATGCTTTTCATTTTACAGAGTTGTTGAAGCAGAAGAATGCTGATTGTGGATAAGTCACAACAGTTGCATAAGCAGTGCTCATCATAATTGGTTTGGTGCAGGCAATAGATTTTTTTGCCTTCAAAGGTTCCTGTGGGTCTGAGGAAGGCATCATTGTTGGTTAGCACTCTTAACTAGGGAGTGGTAGTCACATAAAATAAGTAATGATTGACCAGATGGAGAAAGGGGAGTAATTAAGGAAATTAGTAAGTGGAGGTAGTCGGGAAGTTCTTAGAGTTTTTATGTAGATTTTATAGCTTTGGCTTTCATTTTGTTTAGCTAAAGTCATAGGAACAACTCTAATCTAGAACTTCCTAATTATCAATGTCAGAAAGTTAATTAGAAAAATGAAAGGCATAAGTGGTAGCTCTATCCAGTAAAGTGTCTGATTTTCAGCAGGTGAAGTTTATCCAGAAGTGGGACTTAGTCATAAAAAACTAAAGGGAAGAGTCAATCTGGAAACCAAAGTAATTGGAGACATGGCTAAAATGATTGAAAATACATTTAAAAACTGGAAACAAAATTGGGTCATTTGGCTTTTGTTTAAATTACTGATTTTGTAAGCTTACTTTACCCCCACCTCCTGTCTTGGAAACATATTGAGGTACAACATTATGTTGGAGACTAGAGCCAAGAGTACAGAATCTCCTGTTCAGAGGAAACATTTGAAGTGTTGGGTTAGAAGAACCAAGTCAACTTGAGAATTTTTGCATAGGAAAATAGCAATACTATCATGTCCAACATTTGTGATTGTGGAAAATAATCCAAAAAAAAAAAAAGGTAACCCTCACCTGACAGACTTAGTCACAGACTATGAGGGTATTGACCAAACTTAAGTTGCTGTTGCACTTAAATAACTGTCTTCAATCCTATAATCTAAATTACTTGGGTTTATGCTTCTGGCCCCTGAGGTTTTATTTAGATATCTTGATGATAGTTTAGAACATTGAGCATAGTAAATATGAATGTTAAATTCAAATTAAGAAGTATGCTTAAATGACCAGACAGCAGTTTGGCAAATAGTTTGCTGACCCAGCAGACTTAATTCTGCTCTCATTGGAAAAGAATTGGCCTTGATTCTTCTGGCTTTATACTGATTGTAAAAGAAGCAGAATGATAGTGTGTTCCTTGTTTAGTTGAATATAAAACGTAGGTATTATAGATCACTTTCCTCTTTTTGGAATGTTTTGTATTTGAAGCTTAATAAAACTTAATAATGCATTTTTGTGGCCCTGGTTCTGTTTTATTTTTTTGCAATAAGGAATTTATTTAGACCTAAGTATGACATTAACATGTCCCCTTCCCCCAAACAGTTCTCATTAACTGTTGGCACTTCAGTTATTAGGGAACATAGTTACTGAGGTGCCCGTGCCCTCTTGCTGTGACTAGGCCTCCTTTATTTGGGCAATGAGCATCAAATAGGCATCAAGGTGATTTGGATGATTTCCTTTAATCCTTAACCTGAAATGAAACGGTAGCAATAACACTAAAAGAAAAATCTAAGATCTAAAATAACAGATGTACCATAGTGCTTTTAATCTTGCTTGCCTGATTCTTGGGAAAATTGGTCGGGTAACTCAGTTTGGTAGTGAATCCCACTTTGGACCAGGTCCTTCAGCATTGTTAAACCATTATGTGGTTACAGTGTTTCTGTGATGGCAACTTGTTTTCTTTGCTGTGTCTACTGTTCTATATATATCTGATTCCTGATGTTAATGCCAAAACAATTCAGTGACATTTGTCCTTATTTGAGGGAAAACTGGATTGGGGGTATATCCCTGTTCCCAATATTTATAGAGCATTTAGAAGAGGCAACGCAGAAATGGCATAATTTGCTACCAGATCCAGTTATTTTAGGGTAAGGTGAGTTAGCTAAAGATACGTTGGAGGATTGTGATTGGGGTAATGTTAGATTTCCTTGACAGGTGTTCGCTGTATATGTAGGCTGACTTGGGCTTAGATTTGTGACAGGGGCCAAGCCACTGGGGCAACCTCAGTTTTGTAGATTTAATATACATTAACTTGGACCTAAAACAGGGTATTGCATTTGGCCAATAGCCAGTTGAGCAGAGCTTATCACATGGAAAGGGAATGTTAGCTGAGTATAAGGATGACAAGAAGCCCCAAGTATTGTCATAACTACATATATATTAAATCCTACATGAATGTACTTTTTGTGACTAGCTGTTTTCAGTGTTTTTGACATTGATCCATGTGGTGTGTGTATATTTTTGTTGAGTAGAATTCCAATGTATACAGTGTATAGTTTGTCCACATGGACATCTGGGCTGTTTGCAGTTTTGGACTATGAAGACAAAAGTGCTTCTGTGAATATTGTACAAAAATCAGACATTTTTTCATTCTTTTGGATAAATACCTTGGAGTGGAATTGATAATGTTAATAGGGCAAATGATGTAATTTATGAGAAACTGCCAAATAGTTTTCCCTAAGCGATTGTACCATTCAATGCCATAATACCAATTTATGAGAGTTCTGGTTGCTTTCCAACATTGTTGCTGTTTTGATTTAACCATTTTAGTGGATGAGTGGAATGGTATCACATGGTGATTTTATTTTTTTTAAATTTTATTGATTTTAGAGAGGAAGGTAGAAAGAAACATTACTTTGTTGTTTCACTTATTTATGCATTCATTGGTTGACTTTTGTATATGCCCCAACCAGGGATTGAACCTCAACGTTGTTGGCATAGCAGGACGATGCTTTGGTCAACTGAGCTACCTGGCCAGGACTATTTTTATTTAAGTATAGTTAGCAAACAATACTGGTTTCATTTCGGGTATAATGTTTAGTGATTCAATATTTATGTAGCTTACGATGTGAACACCACAAAGTCTAGTAACCACCTGTCATGCAAACTTTTCACAGTATTGGTTATATTCTCCTTCACCGTTTTCATCCATTCTTCTTACCCTGTGCTAACCATCTGTTTCTAAGTTTTTCTTTTGTTGAGGGATTTTGGGTTTTATTTTTTAAGATTTAAATTTTTTAGAGAGATGGGAAGGGAGGGAGGGGAAACATCGGATGTGTGAGAGATACATCACCTGGTTGCCTCTTGCATGCCCCCATCTGGGGACCCAGCCTGCAACCCAGGCTTGTGCCCCAACTAGGAATTGAACCAGCAACCCTTTTGTTAAAGTTTTTTACTCTGTACATAAAGTGAAACCACAGGTCCATAGGTATTTGTCTTTCCATTGCAATTATAACTTGCATTTTACTGACAACTAATGATGATAAGCACTTCCTTAAGAAAAAAAACAAAAAAACAAAAACTGGGGAATGCAGACTGGTGCAGCCACTGTGGAAAGCAGTTTGGAATTTCCTCAAAAAGCTAAGAATGGAACTGTCTTTTGACCTAGCAATTCCACTGCTGAGATTATACCCTAAAAATCCCGAAACACCAGGTTCAGAAGAACTCCCATGTTCATAGCAGCACAATTTACAATAGCCAAGTGCTGGAATCAACCTAAGTGCCCATTAGTAAATGAGTGGGTCAAAAAACTATGGTACATTTACACAATGGAATACTAGTCTTCATGACAGCATGGATGGAACTGGATAGTATTATGCTAAGTTAAGTCGGGGCGAAAGAAATACCATATGATCTCAGCTATAAGTGGGACCTAATCAACAAAAACAAGAAAAATATAACCAGCAACATTGAAAGAAAACAGTAATGAGAGGGAAGGAGGGGGGGGGTGAAGTCAAGGAACACAGGATCCATGGACAAAGCCAAAGTGGGGAAGGATTGAGGATGGGAAGTGGCAGGAAAATGGAGACAAATGTCTTTGAACAATTGGGATTTTAAATTTACATAAATTGCAAAAATAGCATAGAGTTCCTATATATTTTTTCACCCAGTTTGCCCTGAGTTTAATCATAAATATGGTATATAGGTCAAAAGAAATTAACATTGGTATATTAAGTCCAGATGATTCAAATTTCAGTTTGTCCACTACTGTCTTCTTTCTGTTCCAGGATCCAGTCCAGAATGTTGCACTGCATTTCATAATGGATAGTTTTTCATGTTCTTAACATTCATCTGCATATCTTTACAAACTGTCCAGGTCTTTACACAATGGAATAAATCCAAAAATTGGATTTTTTTTTTCAAGATTTTAGAGGGCAAGGGAGGGAGAAAGGAAGAGAAACTGATCAGTTGCCTCTGCAACCCAAGCATGTTCTCTGACCAGGAATCAAACCAGTGGCCTTTCAAGATTTTATGGTAATTTCTTCCAGTGACCTATGGAAACTGCCTATTTGGAGGTGACGCTTTTTTTCTATCTTCTGCAAGTCTGGTGGAATTTTATTGAAGCTATTGGTGTGACATTGGTTAATAAAACCATACAGGTTTCAAGTGAACTACTCAATAAAACATCTACATACTGCATTGTGTGCTCACCACTCAAAGTCAAGTCTCCTTCAGTCCCTGTTTATCTCTGCTTTGCCCACTTTCACCTCCCTCACCCTCCTTTTCCTCTGGCTGTCACTGTACTGTTGTCCTTGTTTATGTGTGTCAAACTATACAACAAGGCCATTGCACTCAGAACAACCTGGTACTGGCATAAAAAAAGACATAGATTAATAGAACAGAACAGACCCCAGAAGCAAACCCACTGCTTTATGGTAAACATTTGGCAAAAGGCTAGAACATAAAATGGAGTAAAGACAGTCTTTTCAATAAATGGTGTTAGGAAAATAGGACATGTATTAAAAAAAACTAGACCACCATACACAAGAATACACTCAAAATGGAGGAAAGACTTAAATGTAAATTGTGAACAGAATCAGACATCTCTGGTAGCAATATTTTTGCTGATATAGAGGAAAAAAATGTGACTACATCAAACCAAAAAGATTTTGCACAGCAAAAGAAACCAACAAAGTGAAAAGGTAACCCACTGTATGGGAGAACATACTGTCCAATGAAATGTGATGAGTTAATTTCCAAAATGTGCAATTTCTACAATTCAAGAAGAAACAACCCAATTAAATGGGTAAAGGACCTGAATAGACATTTCTTCAAAGAGGATGGACAGATGACCAATAGATACATGAAAAAGATACTCAACATTACTAATCAGAAAGATGCAAATTAAAGCCACAATGAGATACCACCTTATAACCCATTTTTAAATGATTTTTTTTATGGTGAGATAAGATTTGAAACTTTGGAGAAGGGAAGGGAGGGAGACATCAGTGTGTGGTTGCATCTCACAGGCACCCCACTGGGGACCTGTCCTGCAACTTAGGCTGGTGCCCTACATTGGGAATCAAACAGGCGACCCTTTGGCAGGCCAGCACTTAATCCACTGAGCCACACCAGCTAGGGCGGAAACATTTTTAAAAATATGGATATCCATTTATTTTGGTATCTTTGTTGAAAAAGCTACTCATCCTCTGACCTCAGTATCTTTGTAAGAATCCTGTATTATTAGGTACATTCTGTACTTTCTTATGAATATTCTACCTTGATTACTGTAGCTTTAGAGTTAAGTTCTGTACAGATAATTTTTTAAGTTTTCTTCCTGCAGTGTTTTTTCCCTCTTGATGTTAGTGCTTTTTTGTTTTGTTTTTTTCTTTTCTGTACTTCAAACTCTGTCTTCCATGTTAGAAGCTTTCCTGAAATAAATGGAAAATTTTGGTTTCATGCTCATGATTATAAGAGTAGGAGATTAAAATATTTGTAAACTGAGGGCCTTTTGACTTTGAGCTTAACTGTGGAGGTGGGTGGTTGGGGACACCCTGAGTCCAGTGCCTTTAGGTTTTTCCTCTAGGGCTGGTAAGTTTCCTCAAGGAAATCTTGGCCAAATTCCTGCCTTGAGGGTGTAAGTTGTTTTTACTAGCTCAAGATGGAGTTTTGGGGTTTCAGTGTATGTTTGGTAAGGAGGTCGCATGGCCTGTATGTCTGCACATGTATTATGCTCCCCTCTCCCAACAGCTCCTGCTGACTGGGAACTGCCATTCTCTGTCTTGTCATGGAGATGAGATAGAGGGTGATCTCAGCAATGTTGGGGCAAGGGGAAAAGGGTACAATTAGAAATTTCTCCTGGCATCTCTGTAATGGTGCCTGCCCCGCTACCCTTTTAGGCCAGTCTCCCCTGAACTTTACCCCTGCCCCAGACTCATCTCTCTAAGTGTTAGAGACTGACTTCAAATTTCAGCTCCAGCCTTACCAGGTGTATAACCTTAGGCAAGTTT